TTGCGATTTACGGATACGCGTTGCGATTTACGGATACACGTTGCGATTTACGGATACGCGTTGCGATTTATGTGTTCGCGTTGCGATTGTCAAGAATCGCGTTGCGATTTTGGAAACTGATTTGCGATTCTGGGGATCGCGTTGCGATTTTTATTTCGCGTTGCGATTTTGTTGGTCATTTTGGCAAATCCAAAAAAAGTTGGTTAAAATCGTATATTATAAGGTATTTTTGGTCACTGAGGCGATTTTCTCTTTTATTTAATGTTATAAGTATAGGATTTTTAAAAATAATTTTATATATATGTTAAGTTTCTCAAAAAATCAAAATTTTAATTAAATGTTTTTACAGTTTTACGATTTTGGTCCCTTATTTCATTATTCCTTCAATTCATGTTTTATTTTAAGTTTATTTTTATTAAATTTGAACTACATATTCTTAAATCATCGTAGAATATATATGTACTTTCAATTAATCTTTTTGATAACAAATTTTTTATTTACTCCCTAAATTTCTTATAATTTCTTTATTTTTCAATTCATCCTTTATTTTAATTCTTTTTTTACCAAATTTGAACCACATGATCGTAAATCATTGTAGAATATATATGTACTTTCAATTCCTCTCTTTTTGATAACAAATTTTCTATTTTTCAATTTAGTCCCTTAACTTTTTTTATAATTTCCTTGTTTCTTCAATTCATCCTTTATTTTAAGTCTGTTTTTATCAAATTTGAACCACATGCTCCTAAAACATCGTAGAATACATATGTACTTTCAATTCCTTTTTTTGATAACAAATTTTCTATTTTCCAATTTACTCCCTCAAATTTTTATAATTTTCTTATTTCTTCAATTCATCCTTTATTTTAAGTTTGTTTTTACCAAATTTGAACTACATGTTCCTAAACCTTCGTATAATACATATGTATTTTCAAACTCTTTTTTATAATGAAATTTCTATTTTTCAATTTAGTCCCTCATTTTTTCATAAATTCCTTATTTCTTTAATTCATCCTTATTTTAAGTATGTTTTTACCAAATTTGAACCACATGCTCATATACCACAATAGAATACCTATGTAATTTCAATTCTTACATTTTTACTAAAAATGTAATCTCTATATTTTTGTTTAGTCCCTTAACTTTGCATTTTACTCAAATTGATCTTTTGACTACAATTGTTTGCAAATTCTTTCTTCCCATCAATTATTTGACTTCTTTATACTCTCATCAATATATTACCCTCAAAATACTTTCTTTAAAATATATATTACAAATATATTTCATAATTTTAGATTGTATTTGATATATTAAATAACATTTTAATGTGAAAAAATATATAAAATATTTATATCTTATATGGTTAGAGAAAGTCAAAAAATTAGAACAAATTATTGTCATAATACTATAAATAATTATAATAAAATTAGTATAGAAACTCAAATAACTCAACTTGAATTTCTTAAACTCGACTTGAAAAAATTTCAAATTAAGTTCAAGTTGTAAAATACGAGTCGTCAACTCAAATAACTCAAAAATATTTGACTCGACCCAACTCGACTCAATCGAATGATCACCCCTATATATAACACTGGAAAAGAGAAATAAATTATTGAATTTATTTCATCTTAGAATCTTGCGTTGATTCTAACTTTGAAAAGTAAATAAATCATTAAATTTTTTTTCTTATGAATCTTATATGATTCTGGATTGTAAAAGAAAATAAAACATCAAATTTATTTTCTTAGAAATCTTGAACAATTCCATTTTGTATAAGGAAATAAATTGTTAAATTTATTTTCATAGAATCTTGTATTATTTTGTTTTTTAAAAGAAGTTAAATCGTTGAATTTTATTTCTTGAGAATCAAGTACGATTCTATTTTGAAGAAAAAAAGACATCATATGAGTTATGAAAAGGTCGAAAACATGTTTCATACAAACACTTGAATATGTCGGGTTGTCTTGAGAAGGTAATGACCATATTACCAAAATAAATGAAAATAAGTCATATACGATGGATTGTGTTTTCTTTGATTATCCTACTATCCTAGAAGGATAGACCAATGCTAGTTGGATATTTGATATTCAAGACATCAAATGACACAAGTGAATATGTTTCACATTGGGAGGAGAAGTCGTGTTATAGAAATCCTTAAGAAAACGATTATAACCAGATTCATAATGGAATCTAAGTTTGTACCTTTAGACAAGTCTAAAGAATAAATTGAATTTCTTTGGAATTTTTTGGAGGATATTCTTGAATGACTAAAACATATGCCCACGGTATGCATATACCGTGATTAGCAAAGAATTTCAAATGGCAAGTCAAGATATATGCGTCGTCGATATAATACCATGGACAATTGATCTCAAATAGAGTTATCTCTGTTGATTTTGTAAGATCAAGTGATAACATCACGGATTCTCTAACCAAATGGTTAAATCGAGATCAAGTTGAAAAAACATCGAAAGGAATAAGACTAAAGCTCATGATATTTAAAGGCTTTATGTGAATGAGTTTGTTCCTATGATGTAAATAGTGATCAAAGTGGTATAGGCTAAGTAAATCTTTTAATGATCATTGTGTGATGCGGTGAGCCGAGCAACATAAGTCACCTATGTGAGAATGAAGTGAGGCTGCTTCAAGAAGACTATTAGGAATAGTTCTTTCAAACTCTTGCAGAACTAGGCGATGTCCATGGCTTTAAAGACATACCCATGAGAACTAAATTCTTGTTAGAGGGGTAGTTGTGTGAAGCATGTCATCATTTACACAAACGACATAACAGTTCAAGGACATCGCGTCTACTGTTTAAACAGTAAAGTAAATATACTATCATAAGGGAAGGTTCAAAGGAGGACACATACATATCCTATGCAACTATCAATCGTAAAGGCTATTACCACACCGAGTCAAAATGTTTTTGATAAAATCATCAATTTCATTCATGTGGGAGATTGTTGGAAAATAGTGAATTTTATTGATGGATTTAATAGTTAAATTAAATTCATATCATTTTGAATATTACAAATTAAAATATTTTTAATTTGAATATTAGTAGGATAATTATTCTTTGAATATGTTAAATTAAAAGGTATTTACTACCTATTTAACTTTGAATATGAAAGATAATTGTATCCTTTTAAATATTTCAAGTTAAAATAATATATGTTTAAGTTTGAATAGTAAAAAGTTTCTATATCTTTTGAACATGTCAAATTAAAAAATAATATTATCTGTTTAATTTTGAATATTAAAAAATATCTAATTGGAGTAAATCTCTCTTGAAAATCCTTTCTAGTTTATTCACAACTTTCACAAGTTCCTTTAGTTTTCAAAATTCAAAATCTAGAAAAGGTTTTCTCTTCCCTCTAGTTTTCCGGTGATAGAAGAAGGAAATGATAGTTCGTGATTTGTACTATTATGCTACTGTAGATGATCATCTAATTGTGTAGCAATAGGCCTTAACTGTTTCCGATTACCACGTCACTAGGCGCTGGCACTCCTCCATTAAGGCAGTCTTCTGTCGTGGCAACCCTCCACTGAAATAATATTCTGTCGTGACAATCCTCTATTGAGGTAATCATTCGTAGTGAAAATCCTCCATCGTGGCAATCATTCATTGTGGTAATTCGAGTAACCATTCTTAAGTTTTATGAGAACAAAGTAAGATTTATTTTGATGATTTTTATCGTAACACTTAGGGCTTGATTTATTAGAGCATATCTTACACAACAATACCTAACATGCAAAAACTCAATACACATAGCATCATATCATGACAAACATGAAGTACGAAAGGGAAGGAGTGTAGTGTATTAACTTGCACAAAATATCTAAAAGCAACTCCTTTCTTTAACCGAGGGCCTTTTTCTCCTTTCTTTTTGCTTTGGAAGGCTCTCAAACTTCTCTCACTTCTGTAATTTTCTTTGAGTTTTCGGTAGAAGAAAAATAACGAAAGAAAGATGAAAGGGAAAAGTGAAGAGGAAGAAAGGAAAAAATAAAAGTAAATGATGGTCTCCTTTGTCGAACCCATTAATAACCTCCCTCCGGAATGTCTTGGTCTTTCCAATGACAAGACATTTATTATAATATATAGTGAAGACATAATAAAACGTTTGGAATAGTGAAGTCTTCAACTAGATTAAAAATAGAATTGGCTTAAACGACAATGGAAATGATATGCTCTCTTTACTACTTCGTCTTTCTCATGGAACGATTGCCAACCCATACAAATATAAAGCTCTCACATCTTTCATTCATTCTTTCAGGTGTCGTATATTATATTTGTGACAGTTAAAATTGTAATATTCAACTTGCTAGATACTCAATTTTTTTAGACTTCGAAAAAAATTGTTATCATTTTTGCATTTAAGAGGATGCAAATTATCTATATATCAAAAAAAAATTATAGTTTGAACCAAGCAACATCAGTAGCTAAAGATTTATTGTTATATCTTTAAGTCTTGGGTTCAAGCATTGTGTATATCAGGGTTTTGAGCATTTATTATGAAATAGTTGAAAATCTTTGAATAAATAATATCTTATAATAAAATAAAACTAAAAATAAAAATTGTAACATTACACTTGGGAGTGAACTTTAGTGAGTAAAGTTCAACTAGACTCGAGAAAAAAAATTAAATTGAGTTATAAAATAAAACTCGACGACTTGAGTGATTCAAATTTTTAACTCAACTCGATCGAATACTCGCCCCTAATTGCACCTTATCTCACCTTGGAAATAAAAATAGGAGAGTAAATTCAGAGCACTCAACATTCTGTCTTCTTTCTTCTAAGTTATTATTTGCAATTTTTATTTGATTTTTCAGTTCATCCCTCTTGAGACAACATCCATTTTCAATAATCTAACAATATACATTGAAATGCAAATATATCTTGGTTATGTTAAATCCAAAATGTTCACCTATTTGAATCCATTTACTAGTATAATCACCAAACAAGGTTTTGGCTTACATGAATGTATAGGCCAGTGCTTGTCTACCAGTAAAACACATTTTATTTAACACAAACTTGAAAATAGACAAATACCTGTCATTGACTTATAAATCTGCAACCAAAGTTCACCAATCAAATAGCTAAAAAATTCAGAATGCCCTCTAAACTTGGTGATGGCTCAACAAATTTAAATCAAATTTGCATATAGATAGTAATTTTTTTTGCCTCCTTTTGTTCTTCCTTTTCAGTCATGTACCATAGCTCCGATCTCCTGCATCTCCAAGTCCGGGAATTATAAACCTGAAAGCACCGAACAGCTATCAAATATACATTCCTCTCTCAACAATCCATAAGCCAACTCAGGTGAATAGACAGAACTAACCCTTTGTCATTGACAGTGGGATCAATAATTCCAGTATACACGTGAAGCCTGAAAATCATAAAATCCGGTGACATGAATTTTAAATTCTATACAACTGCTGAAGTTCTATATAAGTGGATTTTCATATTCATATTAATTACCCGTGGAATTTCTCGCTCAGCTTTTGAAGGGCTGGAGGAGCTGCCAGAGCAGATATCTGTAATATAACAGCTCAATTCATTGCTAAGGTGGCATAAACATATGTATATAGAAAATGACTGCTGAAGATAGGGAAATATAAACAATTTAATACATCTGATCTAGTATTTTCGCAGTCTGCATAAGCTTACAACATGCGCAAGTTAATAGCTGAGGCCCAATTGCTAATCCGGAGTTCAACCTAAATGAATAGTCTAAAAAATTCTAAGAGAGGTCATGGTCATCTATTATTTTTTTTTATGTACCAGGACGGGTGAACAATAGAAGAGAGTTATAATCGCCCCGAATCAATGAGAATTCGGTATCATAAAATAACTGCATTAGTAACAACGTGACAAAAAAAATACTTAAGTAGATTAACTGAAATATTTAAAAATCAAGTAACCCAAAAACTCAACTACCAAAATGTATCTTCAACTGGAAACATAAAGGATTCTTCCAAATTATTTACCACTTTCATTTGCTTGTTTTGAATTCCACGTTCCTTCAAGAGGTTGAGTGCAGCCACAATTGTGCCACCTGAAATTTTTAGCGAGAAAATTAGCGAAAACAATCACTGAAAAGACAATGAACACATCACTGATGAGTTGTGATGCACTGCCACAAGGATAATGCCTGAAAGTTTTAATGTTTTATAGCTATACAAGATGGATGCGACATAAGATTTCCAGAAGTGAGATGAAGATCAGAACCTGTTGCCAGCATAGGATCTACCACAAACACTCGGGATCCTTCGGGAAATTTGTCAGGCAACCTACAGAGGACATTAACATATGTTACATGCACACACCCCAACATAAACAACAGTACCGACAATAAATTAACCAGCAAAGCAAAGGATGGAATGAAACTTATCATGCTAGAATAGCACAGTATACTTCAACTATAAGACAAAGTTTCAATAGATCATGCTTAGAAAACACTCAAGGTTTAGATCCACATAATACCAAGAGAAGTGAAGTGAGCTCTTACTTGTTTAGATAAACAGTTGGCAAAAGTGTCTCTTCATTTCTGCTTACCCCTGCATTCATAAAACCACAAGTAATAAAGGACTAGACTAGTTGAGGACATAAAGAAGGTGAGGGATAAAAGTTAGTCTTGAACAACGATTTTGTCTCATATTTACCTAAATGATATGTTTTAGTAGCTGGCAAAATGGATGGTGCGTGTTCAGCCAGAGCAAGACCGGCTCTCAAGATTGGGACAATCTGAGAAACTAAAAGAAAAAGGTCTTAGACACATACTCAACACAAATTTCTGCTCAACCAATTCATAGAGACATAAGGACTAAAAAAAAAAGCCGGAGCGAAAACTAACCGCCACAGGTTCCCTTGGATCAATAAATTCAACTGAAGCAATACCCATTGGCGATTGAATCTCTCCTGATACAGTAGGCTGGAAGCAATAAGCACAAAGATATACGAGTTCCAATTAATAAAAACCACATTCTTAATGCCAATAAAATTTATAATGAAGATAAAACAAAGAGAATTTCTTTCCAATAACTTACCAACCAATCCCTTGAAGCTTCATACATAAGTAGCCTCCCCAACTCAGCCATAGCATTTCCTGATAAGAACAAAGAACAAAAACTGATATTGAGATCTCATCGTTTCATATACGAAATAAGAAAAGATATTGAAACAGACTGGGATGATTAAAAGCTAAAAAGAATCAAACTTTAAGCTAAATTCGAAGAAAACTCACTGAAAATGGGGCATGGAGTTTGCTCATTCCTCAAAACTGAAACCCAGTGCTTAATCAACGGGTGCGGAGGCACAAACACCTATAAGAAAACGAAACAAACCAAATAAACAAAACTCGAAAACAAAGAAACTCGTCGTTTTTAATGAACAGAAAACAAAGCAAAAGAAGAAAACCGACAAGCATCCTATCCCCAGAAACAGACTTTTCCTCGGTGGCCATATGAGAATTCACCGTCAGAAAACCCATCCGTCGCCTCCGCAGCCACCTAGAAGTCGATAAAGAAAGCTTTTTTTTTAAGAAGAAAAAAAGGATGATTAGTGGATAATTTGATGAGTGATGCCCTTTTTTTGTTCAAGTTATAAGAATAAAAAAATGGCGGGGATCAAAACTAGGACGATGGAATAAAATTAGGAGTTAACCTTGGGGAGATTAGTAGGGTTGGTGCGGAGTTTTAAAGGAAGGATAAGAGTAGGGTTTTTGAAGGTGTGAGATGAGGGCACGAAACGCGGCGTATCCGAAGTAGAACACCGGAGATTAAAATTGATACGGCAAGCCATGCATTCAATGATTTTCGATCTCTTCGACCCAAATTTGCAAACTTTTATGTTCTAGTGTAGCTGGAATTGCCTTCTTCGTTTTCTTTTTTGCGAGATAAGACTCTTCCTTTTTTTTTTTGGGGGGGGGGGGGGAATTTTTGTATTTTTTTTGCAGTTTTTTGGATCAGATTTTTTTTTTGGGGCTAGTCTGGACCATTGCTAGCCTTTCTTCTCTCAGTTCATGGCAGATTTTGGGTATCTTCTTTCAAGAATGGTTTAAGTTTTTCTTAGATTGAGTTTTCTGTAGAGCTGCAAACAAATATATTTAAATTTGATTTCACTTGAAAAAATTTAAAAGAACTTAATTCGACTCAAAAATTTATAAATATAAAAATTTTAAACTGATTCAAATTTAAAACTATAAATGGAAGCTCAAAAAAGCTCAAAAAAAAAATTTAAAAAATTGAACGTAACTCTATTAGAGTTCAAAACTTAAACTCGAACTTTAAATACATAAAAAATTTTATATTATATATATTTTTAAAAAAACATAAATATTAATATTATTAATAATTTATTTTTTAAATTTTTTAATAGATTATATTTTTTAGTTGCTCGCGAGTTTTTTCAAGTCGAGTATTAAGTAACTCGTTTCAGCTCGTTAAGAATTTAAGTCGAGTCTATTCAAGTTAAGTATTTATGAGCTTTGACCGAGTCGATCTCAAGTAGTTCACGATCTATATTGTCTCATTTATAGTTCTAGAATTGTAAACTCACTCATTTTTAATTAGTATATATAAATATAAGATAATATTTGTTTAAAATATTATATAAACTATACGAATGATCACCAAACTATAGCATTTTTTTCATTTTGACTAACATTTTTGAATTTTTGTCAATCAGATCATTCAACTATTTAAATGAATTCACTCAGGCCACTTGTCATTATAGCAGTTAATAAAATTGGTATAATTACACATATGGTCATTGTTACTTATATATTCTATCAATTTAGTTTTAATTTTAATAATTAAAATAAATTTAATCTTCAAATAAGATCCTACCACGTGTCATCACTTCATTGAAGAATTTAATTTATTTTAATTTAATAATTTTATTTTGCATCAATCAAACGATGACATGTATTACTCTATGGTAGAAAGTAAGAGGGTCCATTGGAGAGTTAAAGCAACAGCTTAACCAGTGAACCAAGTAAACCTTTTAGTTAAAAATGCACTACATATGATGTATATACTAAATACTAGTATAAAATTCTTATTATTTTATAAATTTTTAACTTAAATTCACATATTAAATTAAATTAACATCTTAACATTAAAAATATATATTTTATTCTTATTTTAACTTAAAAATATATTTTAATATTTATTAAATTAAAAAATAATTTATTCTTACCTTAACTTAAATATTTATATTTTATTCTTATAATATTTTAAAATTAAGATAAAAATAAAAATATATTTTTATTTTATTTTAAATAAAATATAAATTTTAATTTAAAAATAATAATAAAAATATATTTTATGTTAAATAAGGATAATTATATTTAATAATTTAAGGTAAGACTATAATATATTTTAATGATTTAATTTAAGAATATAATATGATAAGTTAAAATAAAAATAAGATATACTTTTAAAAGTTAGGATAAAAATAAAATATATAAATTATGATAAGATTAAAATATATTTTAAGTTAAAATAAAAATAAAATATATTTTTAGGTTAATATTTAATAATTTAAAATAAAAAATATTTTTAATGTTAATATGTGAATTTAAGTTAAAATATAGAGTATAATTTAAAATATTAAGAATTTAAGTTTAGACTAATATATAAAATATATATTATATATAGTATATCATATACAAAGTAATTAGCTTGGTTCACTGTTAGCAGGTTTTCCTTTTAACCTTAAGGGTGCGTTTGGTTCACGGAATGTAAGATTACCAGTGGAAATAAAAGATTACCAGGGAATAGGATTACTGGGAATGTAGTATTTTTTGTTTGGTTGGTTTAGCAGGAATGTAAGATTACCGTGTTTGGTTAAAGGAATAAAAGATTATTGAAATGTATATTTAATCAAATTGTCCTTATTATATATTTGTATAATATTACAAATTGTAAATATTTATATATTTTCTTTAAAAAATTAAATTCATAATATTTATATAATTTTTTTACAAAATTAAAAATATAAAAAAGGTTTAATGAAAGGGTAAACAAAAAAATTTAACCCCTGAACTTCATATAAAATTTTAATTATGAATTTTTTTTTTGTAAATCTAAAATAATTTAAGGATAAATTTGTAATTTAATCTTCGTAGAATTTTAGTCCAAAACGCCGGTAATGTTACAATACCTAAGGGAAGGGAGATAATGACATTCCCGGTAATATACCCTAAAAAATCTACTATTGGTAATAAAACATTACCGGGAATGAGATTCCCGACCAACCAAACATGGGAATGTGAGATTCCCATCCCATGGGAATCCCACAATCCTTGAACCAAACACCCCCTAAGACCTTGATTTGATTCCCCGTTCCCTTAATGCAATAACTTTGATTTTCTTTCCACTAGTGTCATCCTCTGATTGGTGGGAAATCAAATTATTAAATTAAAATAAATTAAATTTTTAATCAAGTGGCGACACCGTGTCATTAACATCAAATTGATAGAATATATAAGTCACAATCACCAAATGTGTAATTATACTAATTTAATAATAAATGTTTAAATATTTTTGTAAAGAAGTGTACTCGAACTCAAGATCTCCAAAAATAACAATAATCATTTTAATTATTGATATAAAAATTTCAATTTTTTTTAATGAAGATGTGCCATTAATGTTATTTTTTAACAATAAATAATCAATATACAAAAAAATGTCAATTTAATGATTTTTTTAAAAATAATTAATACAAAAACAATTGTCTAAATTATACCTCGAAATAAAATTTGGTGCCTAAAGAATTTTCCCTAAGAATAGGTGCATAATGTTTTCTTCATTACTATCTTAGGTGCTTGGGCGTTAACCGACGTTAAAAAGCTCCGTTAAGTGACATGTGTTGTAACACCCTCAACCCGTACCCGACCCGGATACGAATCTGAGGTGTCACATTGAATTTTTAAAATTTTGACTCTCCGAAAATTCATTGTAAATTTAAACTTTTATTTTACTTTTAGAATAAACCCTTATACAAAAGTTAATATTGAAAATTCATATTTCAAAATGAAATTAAATACTTGATAATTTACATAAATGTAAAATAGTATGGTTACAAAACTGATCAGAGCATTATGATTTAAAACTTTATGATACATGCCAACAAACAAACAAACAAACAACAAAACCCTATTCCCATATGCAATGGGGTAAGGGGGAGGTGGAGTAGTAGGCTGCCCCCAACGCTAGGTTGAGAGCAGCTTCCGTGGAAGACCTCTGGCAGTATGAAAATTAAAAATAAAGATAAAATACAATACATGTATAAATAAATCAATAAATACATAGTTGAACAGTCTTCATATGCAGTCTTCATATTGTGTATGTAATGGGAAGTAATCCCTGCAAATAAATCTCTGCGTAAAAATCTCTTCTTATAGACACAAACGTAAGTCCCGACTAAATTTAAAAAGAGAAAACATGAAGAGAATGCTACACAGAAGTCAGCTATAGCAAGCTACGAGAAAGAATACAGTCAAATGGGTTAAAACCTAAACTAAGGCAACATTACCCTGCTACCCTAGTTCTACGCCTACATAAATTCCAATGACAGAAACATATTAAAAATAGGAGTCATGGAAATTACTACAAAGGCATTAAAAACACTCACATAAATTAATACATGCCAACAAAATTTCAAAATAACAAAAATAAACACCTACAATTCAAATTGTTCTGATCTGATCGTCTTCAAGTGTATGTTGTCCTTTCCTAGCTTTACTCCTCGGATCGTTTTGAACCTACGCGTGAAAACACTCACACGCTAAGTCATTGACTTAGTGAGGCAATAATGAGCATAATAAAACAGTAAAGCACATACTTAACTTTTAAAGGAACATTGTATATGGAAACCAATATACATTTCATAACCATACTTATAATTTTAAACACTGTTCAATTCATATAAATTTGTTTAAATAGCCTAACGCATATCAATGAGAACTCAAGGTATGTGATTACATTGAGGTTGTGCACTAACTACAGTCGAAATTGACGCATAGAATTTGCACCGAAGTGCCACGTAGAATATGCACCGAAGTGCCACATAGATTTGTCCTGAAGGACCGCGTAGAATTTGTCCCGAATGACCATATAGAATTGTCCTGAAGGACTGGGTAGAACCCTTGACTCTTAAAATGCCAACTATACCTCTAATTTTCATACATATACTTTGGGATTCAACCATATAATTATTTTTCATTACATTATTCAAAGTATTTGTTATCCACATAAAACATATTCTCATATAACCTTCTTCACGTAGAACACATTCACATATAACATATTCACATACAAATAAAATCAAAACAGTATTTCAAAAATACCATTTATATAAAACATCATAAAAATATTGCATAAAAGAAATCAAAATGTTTTGATCGAAAACCTTCGAGGTTGTCTTATCGCAAGATGTCCTCATATCTAATATACAATAAATAAGTTGCACTCACCTTTTCCTCACGTAAGTCTTAAACGAAATCCTTTTAACTTTCGTTCAATTTCTTTACTACGTCACTTTGTTCGGTAAGCTTTCGATCCAAATCTACACACCAACATGTCCAAGATAAATACCAAATATCAATTAACGGCTAAACAATTAGCATTTATATAAACAAAATGAAAGACCTACTTTAACATTTCAGACTGAATAGTATCGGTACTCTACCCACAGCATCGATACTTCTCTTCTATGGTACTAATACCTACTTCAGTATCGATACCATTATGACATTCTGTAATTTCATCTCCAATTACAATATTGACACCTTACTCTTGGTATCGATACCTCCACATCAGTATCGATACTACTTCAATCAGTATTGATATTGTTCATCCAATTCATTAATCCCTTTTTAACATCCAAAATTCTCCATAGAATACTTTAAGCTAAAAATCACACCCATCATTCAAACATGTTATTAATCCTTTCTAATAATATACCTTTGGCAAGTCAAATATACCTTTAAAATTCAATAACTACTCAAATTTCATCAATTCCTTTAAAATCC